AGTTGAGCGTTTGCCTTTGGCTCAGGGCATGACCCTGGAATCCTTGGATTGAATCCCACATTGGGCTTCCTGAATGGAGCCTGCTTCTCCCTCTACCTGTCTCTGCCTCTTTCTCTCTCTGTGTCTCTCATGAATAAATAAATAAAATCTTAAAAAAAAATACCCAGCATAACAAGTGGCCTTCTTACTACCTATCACCCATCTAGCCCATCCTCACCCACCTCCCTCCATCAACCCTTTGTTCTCTGCTTCTTATGGTTTCTCTCTTTTCTTTTTTTCTTCCCCCTTCCCATATGTTTATCTATTTTCTTTCTTAAATTTCACATATGGGTGAGCTCATACATTGTCTTTTTCTGATTGACTTACTTCACTCAGCATAATACATTGTAGCTCCATCCATGTCATTGCAAATGGCAAGCTTTCTTTTTGATGGTTGAATAATATTCCATCACGTACACCACATAGTTTGGCTATTGCTGATAATGCTGCTATAAACATCAGGGTGCATATATCCCTTTAAATCTGTTATTTGTATCCTTTGGATAAATACCTAGTAGTGCAACTGCTGGATCATATGGTAGTTCTATTTTTAACATTTTAAGGTACCTCCATGCTGTTCTTCAAAGTGGCTGGACCAGTCTGCATCTCCACCAACAGTGCAAAAGTGTTCTCCTTTCTCTGCAACCACACCAACACCTGTTGTTTCTTGTGTTGTTAATTTTAGCCATCCTGACGGGTGTTAAGATGGTATCTCATCATGGTTTTGATTTGTATTTCCCTGATTATGAGTAATGTTGAGCATCTTCTTATGTGTCTGTTAGCCATCTGGATGTCTGTTTTGGAAAAGTGCCTCTTCATGTCTTCTGCCCCTTTCTTATCAGTTTATGGTATTTGCAAATATCTTCTTCCATTCTGTAGGCTGCCTTTTAGTTTTGTTGATTGTTTCCTTCACTATGGAGAAGCTTTTTATCTTGATGAAGTCCCAATAGTTCATTTTTACTTGTTTCCCTTGTCTGTGGTGACATGTCTAGTAAGAAGATGCCACAGATGAGGTCAAAGAGGTCAAAGAGGTTTCTGCCAGTGTTCTCCTCTAGGATTTTGATGGTTTTCTGTCTTACATTTGGCTCTTTAATCCATTTTGAATTTATTTTTGTGTATGGCATAAGAAAGTGGTCCAGTTTAATTCTTCTACATGTTGCTATATGTCTTCCTAATATCATTTGTTGAAGAGACTGTCTTTTTTTCCACTGGATATTTTTTCCTGCTTTGTTGAAGATTAGTTGACCATATAGTTGTAGGTCCATTTCTGGGTAATCTATTCTATTGATCTAATAAATGTCTGTTTTTGTCCAGTACCATACTGTCTTGATGACTACAGCTTTGTAATATAGCTTGAAATCCAAAATCATGATGCCTCCAGTTTTGTTTTTCTTTTTTAGAATTGCTTTGGTTCCACACAAATTTTAGGATTATTCATTCTAATTCTGTAAAAAATGCTGGTGGTATTTTGATGAAGATTGCATTAAATGTGTAGATTGCTTTGGGTAGTACAGACATTTTATCAATGTTTGTTCTTCCAATCCATGAGCATAGGATGCTTATTCATTGTGTTAAGCCTTCTTTAATTTCTTTCCTAAGAAAAAAAGTGTTCTATAGTTTTTAGAGTATATACCTTTTACTTCCTTAGTTAAATTTATTCGTAGGTATCTTACTGTTTTGGTGCAACTGCAAATGAAATCAATTCCTTGATTCCTTCTCTTGCTGCTCATTTTTGGTCTATAGAAAAGCAACATATTTTTGCACATTGATTTTATATCCTGCAAATTTGTTGAATTCATGTATGACTTTTAGCAATTTTTTGGTAGAGCCTTTCAGGTTTTCTACATAAATTATTCTGTTTGCAAATAGTGAATGTTTGACCTCCCTTGCCAACGCAGCAAGGGAAAAGGGATCCTTAACCCACAAGGGATCAGGTTTGCTGAGGATTTGTCCACAGAGTGTTGGCAAGCCAGAAAGGCGTGGAAGGAAATATTCAAGGAGCTAATGGGAAAAATATGCAGTCAAGAATTCTTTATCCAGCAAGGCTGTCATTCAAAATAGAAAGAGAGATAAAAAAGAGTTTCCCAGACAAACAAAACCTAGATGAGTTCATGCAAGAAATTTTAAGGGGACTCTGAGTGGGGGGATAAAAGACCAAAAGCAACAAAGACTAGAAAGGACCAAAGAACATCACCAGAAACACCAACTCTACAGGTAACACAATAGCACTAAATTTGTATCTCTCAATAATCACTCTGAATGTAAATGGATTAAATGTGCCAATCTGATACACAGGGTATCAGAATGTATAAAAAATACAAGATCCATCTATATTTTGCTGCCTACAAGAGGCTCATTTTAGACCTACTCTCCATGTTTTCTAATGAAAATCCTACTGTCTTTCCGTCATTGTTCCCCTAAGGTATTGAATCTGTGTGTTTTTAGGATTTATATCTTTTATATTCAGCAGTTTAATATGCATTTCTTTGGGTTTACCCTGCTTGGAGCTGGGTCAGCTCTTCAAATCTACAGATTCCTGTATTTCAGTTTCAGATATTCCCTTTGCAGTAGGAACAAAGACCAAATACATAGGAATAAATTTAATAAGAAATATGTGAAGCCTATAGAAAAAAAAATGTTAAAACACTCATGAAAGACACAAAAGTGGTTTTGAATAAAGGTAAAGACATTCCCTATTCTTAGATGGAGTCAACAATCTTAAGATGTAGTTCTCTCTAAACTAATTTATAAATTCATGCAATAAAGATACCAAAAAGCTATTTTACAGAGCTAGAAAATCTTATACTAACATTCATATAAGAAAATATACATACGAGAATAACCAGGAACACAAAGAAAGAAAAATTACCAGGAGTCTAGTTCTAACAATCTTTACAATACACCTATATAAAATGTATTATCATATGTATAGAAAAATAAGGCACTGGTAATAAATATAAAATCATAAATGGACCCCAAATAATGTTTATTTAGTATATGATAAAGGAGGCATTTCAAATCATTAGGGAAAGTATGGACTTTTTAATAAATGATGATGGTATAACTGGGTAGTCATAAAGGTAAAATTAGATCCACATCTCACATGATAACAAGAATAAACTACAAATGAATTAAGGATCTAAATGTTAAAAATAAAACCATTCAGAAGGCAGCATGGGTGAATTCCTCTTCAAATTCAGTATAAAGAAAGTCTAACTATGTTTCAAAATCATAAGACATTAAAAGGTTCATACATATTTGGCTCTGTTAAAATAAAAATATTTGCACACCTAAAAAAAATCATAAAAGGGCACCTGGGTGGCTCACTCAGTTAAGTGTCAGCTCAGATCATGATCTCAGGATCCTGGGACTGAGCCCTACATTATCGGACTCTCTGCTCAGCAGGGAGTCTGCTTCTCCTTCTCCCTCTGTGCATGCATGAGTTCTCTCTCTCATGAATGCACTCTCTCTCTCAAATAAATAAAAATAAATCCTTAAAAAATTTAAATCATAGAAACAAAGTCAAAAGATAATTCACACACTAGAAAATTATATTTGTATCATTACTATAAAGGAATGATATCTCTGATATATATATATATATATATATATATATATATATACACACACACACACACACATAGGACATAGGATCAAAACCCTGATGGACAAATGGGAAATAGACATGAAAGAGTTCTTAACGGCCAACACTATAACAAGTTGACCAACACAAATAAATAATAATATTACTGCATAATGATTCTAAGAATAAAATTTAAATACACACTAGTCCATACAAATATACATTAAAAACTGAATAAATAAATGGTGATAAGGATAGGTATTCCATTAGGAATATTTGCAATTAAAAAATATAAAAGGAAAGCAGGAAATAGAAAATCACTATTAGGTAAATACTATAGTCACAATGGTCTCAGACAAGATCCACTGATGAATGCTAAAATAAATATGCATAAATTTTTAGAGAGGGAAAATATTTACAGAGTCACAAAATACCTCCAAGATATTTATTAACAATAAAATTTAAAAAACTTGTAACTTCATTATAGCGAAAAATTTCAGCATATATACCACCTTAAAGCAACTATTATCAGGTTAAAATGACAAATACAACATCAAGAATGTGCATGTGTTGGTCTGATACACTGAGAAGGACCCATCACTTCTGTGGTAGTCTTGGCAAAAACTCACAGCCACCTTCTAATCATAAGAAAACATCAGCCTGATTGAAAAAAGAAGAGCGTTCATTCTATAGAACAGCTGTCTAGTATGTTTAAAAAGGTGTCAAGGCCATGAGACAAGGAAAGATGGAACTAACCTAGAAAGGGGCTGAGTACAAAGACAAGACAGCTAAGTACAATGTGTTACCCCAGATTGGCTCCTGGAACAGGAAAGAAACATTAGAAAGAAAACTGATGGAAATTAAGTAAGGTCGGTAATTTCATTAAAAGTACTTTACCAACGTTATTTCCTGTTTTGATGATTGTACTGTGGTTAGATAAGATGTTAACAGAGGAAGATGAAAAGTATAAAAGTATCTGAGAATTCTATGTACTATTTGTGCAGTTCTTCTAAAGTCTAAAGTACAACACAGAAAAGTTTTGAAAGGTATTTTGGAAAAACTGCACTAATATAATGATAGAAAACAATTCAGTGTTACCAGAGGCCAGGGAGGGGGGGGAAAGGACTAACTTCCTAGGGGCACAAGAGAACTTCCATGGATGATGAAAATGTTCTATATCATGATGGTGTTCATAGTCACAGGATAGTATTCAACTGTCAAAAGTCACTGAATTAGAGTGGTAAAATTTTATGTAAATTACACTTCAATCCAGCAGACAAAAGAAAGAGTTCCAAATGTAAATACAATCTTTAAAAACAAGTGTTTAAAAACAATATAAGAGAATGGAGAAAAACCAAATAGGTTTATATGCTCTTACCAGATTAATTAACTGTGTGTGTACCACATCTTCTACCAAAACTGCTGTTTCATGAAGAGGCCTCCTAGCATCACCTAAGGAAAACCTGCCAAAAAAAAAAAAAAAATTAAACATACCAATATTAAAGGCTACAAAACTAAGAAAGGTAAAAAGTGAAAGATATTGATTATCATAATTGGACAATCATGAAGTACAAATTATTCCTCAAATAACAGCGGTTGTACAATTTTCTATAGACAGAATTGTATCTCTCTCATACAAGCTACAATTTCCATAGAAAATGCAGTGTTAGCTATGCTATTTGTTGATCTCTGCAGTCATTATCAAGGGCACTTACTGTTTCAAATGGAAAATATTAATAACTACTTCATAATATTGGCAGTCAGAAAATCATGTTACCATGTCCAAAGTACTAATAAAGTAACATATTAATAGCAGTTTAGAAAATTATAAAAGCATGCAATGTAACCAAGCAAGTAATATAATTAAAATGAAAAGTTGCTTAGCAAAATTTATATAAATGTCATAATTTATCATATGTAATTATAGACAAGCAGATTGTCAAGAAAGGCTTACTGATCTTGATAGTGATTTTCTGAACTTTCATATGGTGGACTAGATGTGCAGAGAATCCCTTCCTGGTAAAGAACATTTGAAAATGCACAATACTATATTAACAACTTACATTTAAAGCCTGTTTTAAGCAGCAGTATAGGAGATAAAACAGAAGGCTGACAAGATGAGAAAATACAGTTCCACTGGATAAGAGAGCCCTCGAGCCAAACTTTATTCTGAAGGCATCAAGATATTCATAGTAGCCAATAATCTGGATTTCATCTAGAATTGTATTCAAGATATAGCAAAGAATGCTGGGACCCCAAGCAAGGAAGGTCATTTGAGGAACCAAATATGAAGTCCGTGATATCTGGTATGGGCGATCTAAGCAAATACATACTCCACAGAAGCCACTTTGCCTATTTCACCCAAGGCTATGAGTGAAAGAACAAAAAATGCAATGCTGGCATGAGGATACAAATGGAATACAATAGAGAGCCCATAAATAAAATCCTATATTATGTACAAAAATTTTTGATAATGGTACCAGGAACACCCAATTTGGAAAGGACAATCTTTTCAACAACTGATGCAGAGAAATATGATATCCATATGCAAAAGAATGAAGTTGGACTCTTACCTTGTACCATATAAAAAATAAACTCAAAATAGATCAAAGACCTAAATTAAAAAGCTAAAACTATAAAACTCTCAAAATAAAACAGGGGGGGATCTTCATGACCTTGGATTCGGCAAGGGTTTCTTAACTATGACACCGAAATTACAGGCAACAAAAGAAAAAATAAATATATTGGAATTCATCACAGTTACAAACCTTTTATACATCAAAGGACAAGACAGTGAAAAGACAATCCACGGAATGGGAATAAATATTTGAAAATCATGTATCAGATAAATAACCAGAATATATTTATAAAACTCTTGAAATACAACAATGAAGAAAAATACCCCAATTTTAAAATGGGCAATATATTTGAATAGATAGGTCTCCAATGAAAATATACAAATAGCCAACAGCAAATGAAAAGATCCTCAATATCATTAGTAATTAGAGAAATGCAAATCAAAACCAAATTGATATGCTACTTTACACCCAGAAGAATGGCTATTATCAACAAAATGGATAATGCTGGCTAGGATACAGAGAAATTGGAAACACTGTACATTGCTGGAGAGAATGCAAAATGGAATAGCCCTGTGGAAAACAGTTGGGTTGTTCTGGAAAATGTTAAACATAGGATTAGGATTTGACCTAGCAATTCTACTCCTGGGTATGTATCCCCCAGAGAATTGAAAATTGAAAACAGGGATTCAAACAAGCGTGTGTATACCAATGATCATAGTCACATTACTCAGAATTGTCAAAAAAATAGCAACAACCAAAATCTCCATTAATGAATGAACAAGTATATGCATGTAAAATATTATTCAGCAATAAAAAGGAAAGAAGATCTGATAGATGCTCCTACACCAATGAACTTTAAAAACACTATCTTAACTAAAATAAGCCAGACAAAAATGACAAATCTGGAATAAGAAAACTTATAGAGATATAAAGTCAAATAGAGGACACAAAGGGATTGCAGAGTTTTTGCTTACTGTGTAGAGAGTTTGTCTGGGATGATAAGAAAAATCTAAACAATAAATAGTGATGATGGTAGCACCATATTGTGAATGTACTTAATGCCAGAGAACCGTACAGTTAAAAATAAAGTGGTAAATTTTAAGTTATGTATATTTTACAAATAATTAATATGGATGAATAAAAATTAAGGAGCAGACTAGATTCTGCTATAAAGATAATTAGGAGTTTAGAACAGCAGATCTAAGGTAATTACCTATATCACAGGTAATAACAAAACATCATGATAAATATTAAGCCAAATATGTTGATACTATAGTGAAATGGATAAATTTCTTTAAAAATACAAATGGCCAAAGCTGGCTTAAGAAAAAATCTAAAAACCTGAATAGTTCCATAAATTTGAAAGAAATTAAATCAGCAATAAAAAACCAAAACACAAAAAAACTCAAAATAAACAAAAACAAAACAACCTGACCTCATCTGTAATGTTGTACCAAAATTGCAAAGAATAGATTATTCTAATTTGACACTTTTCAAGAGAATACAGAAAGATAGATACTCCCCAAGTAATTTATTTAGGCTAGTATTACCTGGGTTTCAAAACTAGAAAAAGATAGTGATAGTAAAATTACACATAATTTTTATTCACATACATAAACAGAAAAAAACCCATAATTAAAATGCTTGAATAAAACAAAAAATCAGATACAGGAGAATTCATTTTCTCTCCTACTTTGCACCTATGACCTCATGGGAGCTCCTTAAGATCATTTAATAGAAAAAGAGAAAACTCAGGTTCTGGGTTTCATATGGTCTTGAATGATGCAGGCACCATGGAAAAGTGAATAGTCCGAGCACTGTAGCCCCTTTTGAACATCACTCGACAGTAGTGAAGGGAAATCTTCCCAATGGGAAGAACTTTTAGTAGTGCACCTAGTTGCTCTTTTTATTTTTTTTTAAGATTTTATTTATTTATTCATGAAAGACACAGAGAGAGAGGCAGAGACATACGCAGAGGGAGATTTTATTTATTTATTCATGAAAGACAGAGAGAGAGAGGCAGAGACATACCCAAAGGGAGCCTGATGCAAGACTCTATCCCAGGACCCCAGGATCACGCCCTGAGCCAAAGCCAGACACTCAACTGCTGAGTCATCCAGATGTCTTCATAGTTGCTCATTTTATTCAATAGGACAAATGGTAGCATAGGCTATGGTCAATGGTTGGCTGAATAAATGGTAAGGGACATGGAAGGAACATAAATAAGAAAATATGAGAAGGAAATTTGGGGAAGAGGTAGGTGGGCAGATAGCAATGAAAGAGAAAAAAGTAAGGATATCTGAGTCTCATGTGAATAGTCAGGGGCAACCCAAGGAAAAGAGAATTTTATTTTTCACTTATTTTTAATTTTTTTAAAAAGATTTTATTTATTTATTCATGACAGACACAGAGAGAGGCAGAGACACAGGCAGAGGGAGATGCAGGCTCCCCATAGGGAGCCTGATGCAGAGCTCAATCTCAGGACCCCAGGATCACAACCTGAGTCAAAGGCAGACACTCAACCACTGAGCCACCCAGGTGCCCCGCAAAGGAGAATTTTAATACTCAAGTGGATATTAGCAGTTTTTTTTCACCAATGACCCTGTCATCAATGGGCTCATCAACAGTCGTCTCGGTGGGAGGGACGAAAGATATGCAGGGCCCAGTAACATGGATTTCCACTAATCAATACCATCATTGTTATAGCCCCAGCTCAGTGCCCATCTGTCAGCAGCAAAGATCAACACTGTTTCTAAAGTGGCACCATTCCCCAGGGTGATCAGCCATCTTCCTTGCAACAGGCTGATTGCATTAGACCAATCCCATCATAAAAATGACAGAGTATGTATGGTTCTTACTAAAATAGACATTTACTCTGGATATGGATTTGCTGTCCCCATGTGCAATGCCACTACCAAAACTACTATCTGTGGACTTACAGAATGCCTATCCGTTGTCATGGTATTCCATACAGCATTGTTTGTGATTAAAAAAAACCCACTTCACAGCAAAGGAAGTGATACCCTGGTACCATGCTCAAAGAATTCACTAGTCTTAAAGTGTTCCTCACTATTATGAAGTAGCTGGTTTGATAGAATGGTGGGAATGGCTTTCAAAAATCCAGTTATAGTGCCAACGAGGTGGCAATACCTTGTAGTGCTGGGGCAAGGTTTTCCAGAATACTTATATATCCTGTGAATCAACATCCAATATATGGTGCTATTTCTCCCACAAATAGGATTCATAAATCCAGGAATCAAGGGGTGGAATGGTAGTGGCAGCACTCATTATTACCCCTAAAGACTCACTAGCAAAATTTTTGCTTCCAGTTCCCATGCCCTTATGATTTGCTAGCCTTCAAGTCTTTTCCAGAGGGAGAAATGTTTTCACATTTATTCCACTGAAACAACAATTATTCCATTGAAATGAAACTTTTAAGACTGCTACTCAGTCGCTTTGGATTCCTCATGCTTCTGAGTCAACAAGCAAAGAGGGAGTTACTGTGTTGGCTAGGGTGAGTGGTGTTGACTATCAAGTGGAGACTGGACTGGTTCACCACAGTGGAGGTAAGGAAGAGTATGTCTGGAATACAGAAGATCCCTGAGGCCACCTCTTAGTATTACCATGCCCTGTTACTAAAGCCAATGGAAAACTACAACAATCCTAACCAGGAAAGGCTATTAATGGCTCAGATCCTTTAGGAATGAAGGTTTGGGTCATTCCATTAGGCAAAAAGCCACAACCAGCTGAGGTGCTTGCTGACGGCAAAGGGAAAACAGAATGGTAGTTACTAATACCAGCTATCCACATGCCCACTAATAAAAACAAGACTGCCATCATCATGAATATTTCCTTCTTATTTTGTTATAAATATGTTTGTGTGT